ATGGGCTTCGTCTCCAGGAGGACAGCAGTCGCTCGTGGCAGGGGACCACGTCGTCTTCCACTTGTCTATCAGGCCGGTCGACCAGATGTCTAGCATCCTGGTGGAGGGGGAGGGGAGGAGAGGGGGCAGAAGGGGTCAAGGAAAGGTATTAATAAAAGTTCCGAAGTTCATGAATGAAAATATGTGTGGTTCTCAAACCCACAGTAGTTACCCAGATGAGGTGCACATGGAAGCTAATAATGATCATGAGGCGGATGATAATGAGATTGATAACAACAACAATAATATAAATCATTATAAAATAGATACCATTAAATTGTAAATGACTTAAAATATTGCTAAGAAATATCGAAATGTATTATCAATTCATGATAAAATTTAGCAAAATTCCTTAATAGCCTAAAAGAGACAATATAGTTTATGATACATTGGTATATGTAGAAAAGGTATGAATGAGACAGGGTATCTTCACAATACAAGAGATGTATTTGACCGGTTTCGATTATGTCCGTCAGAAATACATGTATTTCTGACAAAGACATAATCGAAACCGATCAAATACATCTCGTATTGTGAAGATATCTTGTCTCATTCATACCTTTTCTACATTTGTCAACATGGAAACGGTTCATTCACTGGCATAACAAATGCAATACTATCTTTCTAGATATACCAGTCTTTTATTGTAAATGAATTGACATAATTCATGAAATAGGGAAGATAGGATACCAAAAAAGATTAAGGAAATGTAATCTAAAACTAAATTTGTGTAAAAAGAAATGAAGGAAACGACGTTCTCATAACACTCACACTTTATTCAGGATGGGGACGAGCGGCGACCCCTTCCTGAGGGCGAAGGACTGCTGCACAGGGAAGTAGGACGTCGGCAGGATGTACATGCGGCAGTCCTGGCCGAAGGTGTGCAGGATAGCTACTTCTGAGGATATGAAGAGGTAGGGTTCCTTCAGGACTCTCGCGGCGCCTTCCTCCATGGAGAGCGTCAGAGCCTCCATGCCCCCGTCCTCGGCCTTCTCCCACACTCTCCTGTGGGCGGGGCTCACCGAGGTCTGCGGGAGAAAGAGGAGGGCTCTCTGTCTCTCTCTTCTTCCCTCTCTCTCTCTCTCTCTTTCTCTCTCTCTTTCTTCCTCTCTTCTCTCTTTCTTCTCTCTTCTCTCTCTCTACTTCTCTCTTCCTCTTACTTCTCTTCTCTCCTCTCTCTCTCTCGCCTCTCCTCATTCTCTCTCTCTCGATCTATCTCTCTCTCTTCTGTCTCCTCTCTCTTCTTCTCTCTCTTCCTCCTCTCTCGTCTCTTTCTCTCTCTCTCTCTCTTCCTCTTCCTCTGCGATCTGTCACTCTCCTCTCTCTCTCTGTCACTCCCTCTCTCTTTGGGAATCTCTCTCTCTCTCTCTGCTCTCTCTCTCCTCTCTCTCTGCTCTCTCTCTCTCTCACTTCTCTCTCCTCTCTCTCTTCCTCTCTCCTCTCGTTCTCTCGCTCTCTATTTCCTCTCTCTCTCTCGTCTCTCTCCTCCTCTCCTTCTCAACCTCTCTCCTTCTCTCTCTTCTCTCCTCTCTTCTGCCCTCTGCTCTCTT